ATGATGCATTTTGGCTATTACACAGTGTCAGATCCCTCACGATTACAAGATCTAAAGAAATTAGTAATACAGTTTCTGGTGTGACGTTGTGGCACACACCTTACAAGCGAATGGAGTGCAGCATTCCTGAGTTTCAGAAAGGAAAACCGTGCCCAAATAAGACGAACGGTTTTTTTGGGCACGGAAATTGGCAAACCGTGCCCATTTCGACTAATTACCGTTCCCAAATAAATAACCGTGCCCAAAACAGTCAAAAGATTTTTTTGGGCACGGAAAGTGACAAACCGTGCCCAAAACGGCTAATTTGCGTGCCCAAAACAGAATTTGTCCTCTAAAATTGTAGGTGAATTGATGTGCTAAGCATTTTGTGCTCACTATCACTATACAGTTTTATAGAGTCTAATTTACTACTTGTGTAACTAGAAGCAAGTTTGAATGTGTCAAAAAAAATAATCTTGTTTAATATAAGAAATGAGTAACATAGAAAGAAAAATAACAATCCCCTTCAGCTAATCAACAGTTCTACTCGAAAATCTCTTTCGGTTCTAATCTCATCCCTGTTCTAAACTTTACTGTTTCTCAACATCTCTCACTCAAACTCTCCACGAAGAAATTTATGCACTATCAGACACTTAATAGAAATGAAAAAAGTCGAACAGTGTTTGAATGTTCCGTTCGAACATGTCCGAATCGGTTAATGTGCGAGTCAAACAGTGTTTGGTTCGGACACTGTTTGAGTCAAACTGTGATTGACCGTCCGTCCGTCATATACCTACATAGAAACGAAACAGATACTGAGAGTCTCAGTATCTGTTTCGTTTCTACCCACACACCATAGGTTTTTTTCTTTTCTGCGCTTGTAACACATGATCTCAAGGCGCAAAGCTGATATTATGGGCTTCTATCTTTTTTGTTCTGTTTATCAGTAAAAATAAAGTTTACAACAGGTAAACTTTAAAAACGTTAGATATTTTTCATGTATGTAATAACAGAGGTATATAATTGACAAATATATGAAAAATCTATATGGCCAACTGACTGTGTGCTTCGAAACATTGTCTATTTGTGTTACGGAAAGAAGAAGGTTTTGATTGCTGTTCGAAAAGGTATTAGTTTCTTTATTTGTTGAGATTCAACGGGCAATCCATTCCATTGGCTTACAAGCCAATAAAAGAAAGTATTTCTAACTTGTTGTATTGGTTTATTCGGGTAAATGGGTTTTCAGATTGAAGGTAGAACATTCTTCTATCAAATAAAAAAGCGATGAGCTGCTTGAACTAAAGAAAGGCTGAGTTATTTAAATTTTTTACCTGGTAGTGACTTTTAATACACTATGTATTTCCACTCTTTGACTAGTTTTTTTGTCAATTATAGGTGATATCTGACTGATAAAACTATCGTTATGACTACTGAGGGCGTAAAGAAAATGATCCAAGGATTCGAGACATTAATAGCATCGAAACCGTGTTCTGAAACAAGACCATCTTTAGTAGTAGGACAAAAATTTCCGCCAATAAAAATTGACTACATGAAAAATATCCGACAATTGAAATTAGCTATTACAGAGAACAACGACAAAAGAGTCAAACAATTGTGTGATGAATTGATAAAATATTGTGACTCGTTAGAAACCGACGATCTTCTGGAGTTGTTAAATTTCGTGCGTACAGCTATTGAGGCGGTATTGAGTATTGTGTTACTTGAGAATGAATATAGTGATGTATTATACCAGCTGTCATGGTCATTACATACACGAGTTGGAAAGAGCATTCTCACTCCTCTATGCAACAGCCGTGAGAAAAAACTGAGATCTGAAACATTTTATTCATTTATTCAACAGCTCAGTTCGTCTTCCATAAGCAGGTATTTAGAAGATCAAATTACAAATGAGAAACAACGAAATTCATGTTCAGTCATTATTTGGATTATTGTTACGATAATTAATTGCTCACTTGATTCATCAGAAATGCATAAAACTGATTTGGATCAACATATTTTACTATTTCAAGTATTACTACGATATATTAATCAACATTTTAACTCGGACACACAATACGTGCAAGTTAATATTGAATTAATTCTAAAACTAATCTGGAGTCTTGTTGATCAAACAATGCTGATTCCATTTTTCGTCGGTATCGATTTACCTAAAGCTATTTTGACCTGGATGCAACAATCAGAAACAAAAGTGCACGGCAATCTTCCCTTAATCAATATACTACACAATATAGCACGTCATGATGCAGGTGCAGAAAAGCTGAATAATTACGGTGCGATTCCTGTTTTGGAGGCGTACAAAAAACAGAAATTGAAAAATGAATGGACTGAATGTGACCCTGCTCAGTTTGATCTAATCTACTCCATGTCAACATTACTTTTATTGTCACCAGACGAAGTAAAATCAAACGCTCAAACGGCAGGAAATATCCTTGATCAACTTATAGAACTTGCAGTAAAAGCGTCACAAACCAATGACTGGAAGTGTGATTTAGTTGGTTTAACATTTCATATAACGGAATCACTCGTTGTTTTAACAAAATTATTTGTTAACGATGATGTTGTTGATTATGTTCTGAAGCGCTCTCAATCAGATATACGTTTTTTTGCCAATCTGCTGTGCCGTTCGACCAGTAATATAGATAGTGACGAAGATGAATATTTGAAACTAACTCAAATAACGTTATTCAACATTGTCTGGAGCATATCATTTAGTGAAAAGTACAACAAGGAACTGAAACTACATAAAAAATTAATTGTTCAAGTTGAGGAAGTAGCTAAAAAATATCATAGTGCTGAAATTATCGATCACTATGTACCAAAACATTTTTCGAATATTAAAAAGGCAGCCGACGGTATATTATTTAATCTGAAGACTGAATATGGTACTGCTGCAGCAGTTAGAAAACCAAATAAAAACGTCAAGCCATTTGTTATGATTAGTTATTCACATGCCGATAGGAGTTTTTGTACCGAGTTAGTTAATCGATTAACTGCAGAAAAAAATATTGATGTGTGGACAGACTTTAGTTCACAAGGAAATAATAACGAAGTCTTTCACTCATATGATTTATGGGAACAAATAGCTCACGCCATCGAGAAAGCGAACGTTGTTTTATTAATCATGACTGAGAATTATTATAAAAGCAAATCTTGCCGTCAAGAAGTAGCCTATGCAAATGACTCACTAAATAAACGAATCATTCCTATTTATCCATACAACAATTACATCGCAACTGGATGGCTTGGTGTGAGAATCGCTCCTCTTACATACATTCATTTTGGACGAAAAACATTTAGTTGTGCAATGAAAGAGCTGATTAATGCAGTAATGGAACAACAGTCAGTAGGAGCGTGCAAAGCTACAAACGACAAAGATATTACACCCATAAAAGTAACCGAACCTACAGCCGAAAGGTTACCACGGGCAAATATATCTGTTCGAAATTGGTTAGTTGATGATGTTGCTTCGTGGTTTCATAAAAATGGAATTTCTCATGAATTACGTATATTATATGATTTTCAATCAGGTTCAGAGCTACTGGATTACGGCAATGATTTCAGAAGGAATTTTGATCAGGAGAAAAAAGACACTCGGAAACGTTTCGAAAAGAAATTTGGAGAACCGATGAATACCGTTCAGTTTAATCGATTTAAAGACGCTTTATACCGACTGATAGACAAGCAAGATTGTATACAACGTTCTTACAGATTTTGAACGCTGCCGCGAAAGCTCCGAAGCCAAGGATCAGCCGAACTCTGGTACATAATGATCTCATCAGAATTCCATTCAATCGGGCTGAGACTTTTGGCTGAAGTGATAATAAGCAGACATTGGACTCTTGGGCTTCGATGAATTTCGTTTTTGTACGATATTCAGTTCGCGAGATATGGTCGTTTTAAATCGAAAATGTCCACCGAGATTTTCTTTCTATATTTCAATGAAAATTAATTTAATAGCTTTTAGAGGATTCATCGACATCTCCGCGAACCGACATAACCTATATGAAGAAGGGGTTCGCATAAGGTTACGAATCGCCCTACTATCTTGTACGAGCAAAAATGGTCTCGTATGTAGTAAAAAGTATTCCTATTCGATTCCAGGTAAAATCGAATACTTTTGTTCCTGAAAATCACGTTAACAATATAATCCCAGCCGGTACCTTAATATAACGTGAAAATCATAAGTAAAAGCTCCTTTCCTCATATTTCCTACACCTAAACAGCTAAGTAAACATACTGTTGGATAGCCCTTGAAATTCACAGACTGAATCGGTCAGATAATCTAGATCAGTCGGCTCGGTCATCAAGAACATGCAAAAAATGCGTTGTACCTAGGGAAAAGAGCTGAAGAACACTTATTAGGAATTTTTCTGTCAGAATGACAGAAATTAAATATACTGCTTAAAATTTAAGCTAAACTTAAATATCTTTTAAAAATATACTGCTCTGCTGCCCTCGAAATCCTATACAAAGTGAGCTAGTCAGATAATTTAGATCAGTCGATCCGGCACAATGTGCATTTATTACACAGCAGCGAACATTTATTCAATTTTCCTTCTAAATAGCTGAAAATAAGTGAAAATAGGTTTTGAAGTGTGCTGTTTCTGATCGAGATGCCACAAAAACTAGCCGATTCACTTTTTGAAAAATGTGCCTTATAGGTTTTCTTATGTCTAGAACCCAATTTCAACACTATAACTATATTTTCAGGGTTTTCCGAGTGTTTTTCCAAGTTCGGAAAATCTTCTTAGCAGAAGATTCTATGTGATTACCCATGTTAGTTGCTTCTAAGCTTTCCTCTGAAAGCTGACCTAACTCAACGTCGTTGTTTCATTCAATCAGTTTACGTACATGAAAATACAGCCATGAACGGTCATTGAATAATCTGCCCATGTTGCATTTGTTGCGAGAAATAGGGCGAACTCTTTCGTTAGGTCTTTTAATTTTGGTACGTTAGTTTTGTGAGAAGAAGAAATGGCTCGTAATATTATGGAGTAAAGTTGTGGTAGTTTTTTCGGTATATTTTGATGTTTTTGAGGAACGCATGAAACAACGTCATTTCTTAGTTCGAAGCTGAAGAATCGTGGGCCTTGTTGGCCTGTTGTCGTAGTATCGTCACAAGAAGTTCCATCAACTTGATGAAGTCTCAAACCAGTTTTCGTTTCTATCTCTTCTATTATAGACTTCTTATCTTTCGCTAGCTTGTCTTAGTTTGTTTCGCCACGAACAGACTATTGTAACAAATTTGATTTAAGATGATACATCATCTTCAAAAACCAACTTGTGGTATTGAAATACTGATGAGTTACTGTGAAGAATGCATGATCGCATTCAGACAAGGGTTCGGATGTCAAACTAGTACGAGTTACAAAATCATCCTTTCGTTTTACGATATCTCCTCCCTCTTCAATCATTATTTTGTATATTCATTGTTTGAGACGCACTTCTCGTCATACCGAAGTAGTAGTCTCAACTTTCCAATCGGCTTGACATGTTACGTAGAGAAGATGTTCTGCTCATCCCAAGCCACGTTCCATTATTCGTAGTTCCATATCTTATGTGTACGTCTTATATGTATCCATTTCCATCTTTTACACTAGTTTAAAGTACACCAGTTGTACATGATGCTGATCTATTTTTTTTGAAAAGCATCCCTTTTAGCCTTTGAGAAATTTGGCTGTGAATATCGATGACTCTCGTCTAAAAAAGCAAGTTTTTCCTTGGTCAACTTCGAATGACTTCTTTTGCTTGTGTTGAAAACTTGCTTTTCTAGACGATAGTCATCGATATTCACAGCCATGTTTCTCATAAGCTAATAGGGATGCTTTTCTAAAAAATAGATCAGCATCATGTACAACTGATGTACTTTAAACTAGTATAAAAGACGGAAATAGGGATGCTATAATTAGTCTAATGTTAGTTCACGAAGTTGGCACAATACGAAATAAGCTTACAGTGAACACTCGCCTCCTTGTGTATATATAAAATGAACATTTGATGAAAATATAAAATTTGTTACTTTCTGATTTTATTCTTTAAAGAGAAAAATGTGTGCTCTTATGAAGATGAGAGATTTCTAGAGCCCACGAGTTTGAACGGAGGCTGGACAAGATCGTATTGGGAAGAATGGATATCAGATTCGTGACCATCATTAAAAGTGATCCATAGTCAAATATGTTTTCAGGAAATTTCTGCCTAACACTTGGATATTTGCCTTCGTGAGATCAACAGGCTTCAAAATCTAACAGATAAATAGCTTATTTGGAGTCAAAAAATATACGTTTGATAAGTCCATTAACTCCAGATTCCAAAGAACTCTTTATAAAAGTTCGTCATCATGGAACACCAAAGGTCTGGCGCAGAAAAAATCGTGCTCCTTTCAACTAATTGCGACAATCTATTGCATCCATTGGCACTGAAGAAATTCAGGTCTGTTTAAAAGATAAATTCGATCGGCTTTCCTGCTTCTTAGAGGAATAGCAGTTCTATCAAGTGCGAACACTACGCTGTAACCATCCATGCCCTTGTAAGTACGTCCGAAAAGGATATGCGGATAATGCTCCTTTGATGAATGTATGACCACTAAGTAAATGGTCATTTGGCTCGGCATTTTGTAAGTGTTTGTTTACTGTTAGCATTAGTAGGAAGTGATAAACTGGTACTATTAACTGATACTAATGAAGATAGATCGAAAAAAAAACACTGAACGTTCATGTAGCTTCGATCCAACATTCAACACAAAATGAAAAATGTAGATGAAACATAAAACTCATTGATCGATTCATTAAAACAACTAACATATACTTTCCTGATGAACGTTTCTATTTTATTTACTGTAGCTAAATCCATTATATATAATTTATTAATTAATCTGAGCTTTCGAATCATCGATTTATCATTAACGTAAAAAATTATAAATGTTTATAATACTAGAACGGCACAATCGGTAAAACATAATATGCTATAATGGTTGTGCATTTAGTTCCGAAATTCAGACAGAGTATACTATTATAGGGTAGAGCAAAATAGGGTATATTTATTATCGGTTTTCTGCTCTTTTCACAAATCCTGTCTCTTGTTTAACTTGAATCACCTGATCACTGTCTCTTCAAAGGTTTGTATGCTCAATAATTTCCATTTGACGTGATTCCTCTTTTGTATTGATTACATTTTGTATTTTCAAACGGAGGAAAATCGTTATTGTATTGTAGTAAAAGTAACAGCAGAAAGAAAATCGTATATATAAATAGTAAGAAAGTGAGTAAGTACTTAATAGAGTGTGACTAACCGATCGTTCTAGAACGATCGGTTAGTCACAGATTATCTATTTATATACCAGTGAAGAATATTCGAATGATGAGTATACAAATACACGTCAGAAAAGAAGAGAAAAGAGCACAAACGTACGTAACACATAGTGGAAGTAACAGTAGTATTCTCTTACATACTTTGAACGCCAGCGAGAAGAGAAGAACTTTGGAGATAAAAGTAAATATAATAAGTTAGGCTGTTTTGAGTTTTAATCCGGACTTATTTACAAATTATCTAGACGAGCTTCATTAAGAAACAAAAATAGAGTAAGAACGAGAATATGCACGAGAGAATTATGCAAATCCAGGTCATATTTTTATTTAAAAGCACAATAACGTGTCAGCGCTATCTGGTGTTAAGGGGGGGGGGGGGGGGGGGGGGGGGGGGGGGGGGGGGGGGGGGGGGGGGGGGGGGGGGGGGGGGGGGGGGGGGGGGG